AAGTGTCTGTGACATGGAACAATATACCACATTGAGAAAAAGAAAAAAGACTTTTGAATTTAGTGGATTTCGAATAGATACGAGATCCCAAAATCTTTCAACAATACCAAAGTTTGAGGTCTAAAATTTTAAAACAATATATTGCCATGTCTGTCACGATTTGCGACTGCGCCAGGAAATGGAAGCTCACTTTTCTCACCATAGGCTTCAACACTCGCTAACTATTGTGTTTATAAAACCTAAGTGATTATATCTAATGTAATACAATAATTTTATCAACACAATTTTCCTTTTCTTGTATGAAATTCAGAACACAAAGAATATATGAATAAATGTGCTATTCAACTCTTCAAAATTTCTGTTTCTAGGATCCAAACTTGATAGATTCAAATTTGAGATTATAACCATGCGACACATACACCTTATTTTTGATGGACACATTTTCATAATAGAATGATTGTTTTTTTTGTTTTGTCACTTCTTAGGTCTATTACATCGACTCAATAAACTAAGAATTGAAACAAAGAAACGCTTGGTCAAAATGAATCTGTTCGGAAAAGAATGTTCTATTAGTCAAATACCAGATCGCGAGGAAGTGGCACTTATATCAAGTCGAATCTATATTGTTTTACTCAGTATAGTCATGACAATACTCGCTCTTTTAAACGGTTTCAGTTTAATCAATGTCTCCGAAACGGTGCTGTCACCTTCACTTGCCACATTCGAACAACTTCAACAAACATATCCAGCCACACTCTCATGTTATTGCCAAGAGGCTGTTCTATCGCACAATAATTTTATGTCTATCGAGCTGAAATTTCATCAGGTAATATATGTAGATCGATGATATTCATATTCATATGAGCATCAATTTTATATGCATCAGCAGAGAATAGTTCGTCATATGAGAATGAGACTTTTCTTCGAATATGAAACGTTATTTACGGGACTGGCCTCAGACAGTTAACATGGAAGAGAGGATAGAGCATCGTGATATTTTTTGAGAGAGAGTGGAAAACTTTTTGTCACCAGACGCAAGAAAAATTTTCGGCTCCGCTAGAAAAAAACGGAACCTTTTCATGACAAAAAGTTTGCATCCACAATGGTCCCCTATCAGATCAGCCTATTTGTTTATATACAAAGATTCTGAAGAATGCATTTATAGTTCGTATGATTTTCAAACGCAGAGAGCTCTTGATTGTTGGTTGATACCGACACATAATACTACTCACCAAACATAGAAAGATCTCTTATAAAACAACAGCATATTAAGCTTAGTTTATTTTAAACCTCTAAGTGCTGTTGTATATGATATGATTTCTAGTTTACTGATTTCTAAGATTTTTCATATCATGTATCGTTCAGATCTGTTCGAGTGCATTTATCAATACAACATGGACAACGCTATTATATGGATATGGATCCTCTGCAAACAATCATCTGCAACTTGATCGACATCTTCTCAGCAAGCATTTTCAAATTTTGGGATGGATGTGTGAAGAAATAGCAAAGAATGTCGATTTTCAAATAGATACATTCCTCAGAAGGTTGCTGCTCACTGCAACTGTAGTATCTCGAAAACCATTCGAAATACAAATCAACAAGACCGTCGCCCATCACATTGAACTCATGCCAAAGGAATTTCGACGGATACAATATTTCCTACTTGAAATGTTTCATTTCAATTTTTTGCCGACAGCCTTCAATACTGATTGGTTGTTGGAGTACGGTGACGAGTCGAACGGTTATCTCATACGAAGTGTACCTCGCGTATTCACTAACACTACGTGCAATTGTATGGTTTCGGGAACATGTCAAGAACCACTACGAATCGGTCCACCTGATCTCTTTTTACCTGGTCTTGTTGTTGGTTGTTTACCTATTGATGGACTTCGCATGTCTACACTTGAATGTTTCTTCTCATCAAGCTGCATCTCTACCATCCTCACTTATCTTGAATACTATACAAAAATGGATGGCTCACCACCTACAGATTTCGTTCCACCGACGGTATTACCCTTGACTATATCTCCATTAGACAACTCAACACCTTCGCGTTTTCCTAAGAACACTTCAATCGGCACACTCATGGACGAATACTTTATCGAAGAATGGACATTTAGAATGTCATACGAAGATTATTTTACTACATGTGCACCAAGTCATTGCAATTTTGAATATGTTACACGTAATAATCCTTTGTACGTGGCTACATCAGTACTTGGTCTCTATGGTGGTCTCACGATTGGCTTACGATTCATCATCTGGAATGTCATAAGACTATATCGATCGCTGAAAAAGCATATTCGTTCTCGTCGAGTTATTGCTCCATCATGATTTAAAAACCGACAGACAGAATTACGTTTGATCAATCGAATACTATATAGAATAACTCTTTTTACTCTCAAACTTCATGTAATCACAAAGCTTTCTCGCTTTTGTTTCGCCTTGATATTCAAATAGCTTGAGCCACGCTGTCGTTGTTGCTTTTATACTGATATCAAATGCTTGTGGTCTAAAGTTACATGTTCATCGATATTGTCTTGTAAAAAAGAAGAAAAACACTGAAAATTCATGATATAAATTAATTTATTTAACCATCACATTACTATCATATTATCCATGTGAAGCATTGAATAAGTAACTGAAGTATAATGTTCATATCCCATTTCCTATGCTTTTGATCAAAATTTTACACATCCTCATCATAATATGTTTCTTAAAATTCAGAAGAGAAAATTCGAAAAACAAATACTTGACAAAGAAAAATAAAGAAAAGTAGAAATCCAAAAGCATCAAATAGTGGCAGTCTCCATGGAGAAGTATGTGATCTCTCATGCTGCGTTGCTTCCTTAATAGATTGTTTCCTTGGATCAATAAGTCACCTGACTTCAGAAGTAACGAAAAAGCTTCCATATAGTTTCTCAACTATTTCAATAGATAGTTTATGTGTCTATGTGACATTGATCGAAATGCAAATTGTTTTAAATTCGACTATAAATCAGTTTACAATTATTTAGGACCGATTTATTGTGAAAATGATGGTCAATACTATCAAGACAACAATACTTGTCCAAAATCATCATCGTGTCGCTGTAAAGAATGTTATTATGGTACTCGATATCAATTTACAACGAAAGGATTCGGTCTATCACTCGATGATATTCTTGGTTATAGTATTTGGCCTAATTTTTCTTTTTCGAAACAACCAATCATAGTGAAGCTATGTACAATTGAAACGATATTAATGTTTGCAATTGCCATTGTCAATGGTATATTGTCTATAATCACATTTCGAACAAAACAATCGCTTCAAATAGGTAGTGGTCTTTATCTACTTGCATCATCAATCACATCTTTTCTTACAATGACATTATTTACAGCAAAATTTGTTTTACTTCTCCTTTCTCAAATGTCAATAATTACTAATTATTCTTTTCTTAAATCAAATTGTCTCTGCTTAGATATGATCATGAAATCATTTTTGGCTATCAGAGATTGGTTAAATGCTTGTGTGAGTATTGAACGAACATTGACCATTCGACTCGAAATCAATTTCAATAAAGTAAAGAGTAAACAAATCGCTAAAAAAATTATATTTGGAATATATCTGTCAGTCTTTGCAAGTTTTATTTATGATCCTGTTCATCGTCGTTTACTTGAAGATACAGATGAACAACGAATCTGGTGTATAGTTCGTTACTCATCATCTGTAAGAATTTTTGCCACATTTAATAATATTTTTCATTTTATTGCACCTGTTTCTATCAATTTCATTTCAATTATATTCATAATTATTTTAATAGCACACCAGAAATTCAAAACTCACAAAGATCAGTCCTATAAACAATATCTATAGCGACAATTTCATGAACACAAACATCGATTATTGAGCTCATTTATTCTAGTTATCGTTGCTCTGCCTCGTCTAGTTATTTCACTGATGTCCAATTGTATGAGATCTCCTCGAAATTATTGGCTATATATTTGTAGTTATTTTATTTCATTTATTCGACCATTACTTACATTCATACTTTTTGTTGTCCCATCTGAATTCTATCGAAAACAGTTCAACCAAACAATTACTCATATTAGAAAAACGATTCAAACTCAATTTCAACGCCAATAAGTATTACAACAAAAAACGAATTATCTTTCTGATCGGTTCATATGAAGATTCACTTACAACTATCATGCTTTTCTTGTTGTGACCTTGTGTTGTGCTTACTTACAATTTTGTTTCAATAAAAAACAAAAACAGATCTTCTGATGTCTGAATATGATTATCATGTTTACATCAGTGATGTACCGATGGTTTAGTCTTGCATTTGTTATCGTTCAGAAAATATTGCCTTGTCATGAATTAAAAATCCTCCGAGGTTATCTTATCAATTTTATGCACGATTGTATAGTATTGTGAAGTTCTCACTTGTAAACAGTCAATGCATAGAGAAAATCCATTGCAGCAAATAGTTGTTCCCTATATCTTATCTACACTAATAATCTCTATTCGGTACTATGATTAGACTCTGATGACTTTCTCTACTTTCTATTATTCGACGTCGAATAAAAGTTATTCGTATACTTTTTCGTATTAATATTCAATGATAAACTATTGGAATATTCTGATGAAACTTATTAAACTGACAATTTGCGATCTACATGCGAGAGCCAACAGTATTTACTACCCTATAGATGTATCGACTATTTCAAAAATCGATCCGTCGACTTCAATTCGAATAGCAACATAATATACCGATCAGAGCGCGAAATCGAATCGATTGAAGGTTTGTAAAAGTTAGTCCGAATCGAATCGAATGGAAAATTTCTTCAATCGAGTCGAATCGAATCAGTCTTGAGATGCCTTATTCGACTTTTTTTTTCTTTCGATCATGTAATAATGTAATACGTTAGTGATGATTGGTTTACATGAACAACACATATAAGAGAACACAACACCAATTTAGAAGTTGTAATTAACTTCCTCTAATTGTTGTAAACGCATTTGTTAACTATGAACGTGTAATCAAATAACAAATATGTATGATATTATCTAATGATTCTTCGATAAGTTAAACACTCTTGATACATATTTATTTACAACTGTACAGAGTCTTTTGTCTTAACAAATTTCATAAGAAAAACGGTATATTCATTCTTAACTACAGACATGTAGAAGTAAAGTGACATGTATATCTGTTCATATCGATACTGTTTAATTATGTCTACACATTTATTCTTTTTCATATGTTTTGGTTATTGCTTTTGAATGAAAGATTATAAAGAAAACGATCTTCTACGATTTTATTGTAAAGTGCTTTGGTTAGTTTTCGTAGCGGTTGATTCTTGTTGGTCCAATTTTGCGGCATGCACTCAAGTTGCGAAATTTCAACTGTTCAAGAATTAAGTTCAGTCTTATTTCTAGGAATGATTGACGCAGAAGTTTTACGAGCAACTTTATTCTGTAAAATCTGCTTTCGTATACACAGATGGCATGACAAAGCTAAATGATCATAAAATATGTATGGAAGTACCACGTACATATAAGGTGAGGAAAGCAGTAGAATAAATATTTGACGAAGAAATAAGCGGAACATGTGTGTCAAACATGGTGTACGAGAACAGTAGCATTATTTTTACTGTTAGTGAAAGTCGAATCGAATCGAATCGAATTGAAAATTAAGTGCGGTCGAATCGAATCGAATCGAATTGAAAATTAAGTGCGGTCGAATCGAATCGAATCGAATTGGGATTTAAAAAAAGTAGATCGAATCGAATCGAATTGATTGAAGATTTTTTCATTTTTTTCGCGCTCTGATACCGATCTTGAACTGATGGATCAATCCGAGCGGCAAAACTTGCTTGATTAAACCTCTTCTCTTTACTTTTAATAGTTCGATTTTTTCGACAGATGACTATCTCGCTATGTGACAGTAATATCACTTACTCTCAAGATGAACTATTACAAACAATGATTATAATATATTTGACAAGCAATTCACATACTTAGAGTCCATTCGATTGTGAGTTCGATGAGGGCGTGGGTGTGGGGTGTGTTGGTGTGGGGCATGGGTGTAAGTTTGGTGTGGGTGTGGGGTGCGTGTGGGTGTGAGGGTGTGGAGTATGGGTGTGAGATGTATTCAGAACGTGATCCTAACCGACGCCCACATTCACACATCCACACCTACACCCACACCACACCCAAGATTCTGATTGTTGTAGAATTATTTTTAAATATGCATGATACTATTTTTTCTTAGGTAACTTGCCATGCTCTAACCAAGCATGATGTAAAAAGAAAAAGAAATACTGCTGCAACTTTGAAGTATGGATACATGATACATTGTACTTATCTTGAAATCTGAATATATTGATCTGTGTAGGCTATAGGTGGATCATATTTTAAATTAATTAATTTGATAGTGAGAACATTCATTTAAACCGAATATGATCAATCTTCTTATCTTACGATACACGACTTTCTATTGTTAGACTTCCTATTCTTATGGTTACTAGTCAGAACAGAAGGAAAAATCCGAAATAATTCATCCTCGATCAATATAATTATAAATAACCATTATCTTTGACTAGAGTATTGAACTATTTCATATAGAAATAATTATAAAGGAATATGTTTTTTTTTTACTGTTTGTATTTCACATTATACCGAACGGTCTATCGTTGGTTTACGTGTAGTTTTTGTCCCACTCGAATCACATAGGAAGGTAACCTATCTTTTCTCGAGATGAGAAGCTAATGTTTATGAAATGTATAGTATCTTAGGTCAAAATTTAACTAACTTTTTTAAATGAATAATCATTCTCATAATAGAATCAATTTATAGATACAGCTAATACATACAAATTTCTATGAATAGATAGGAATGACCTCAAATATTCGAATAAGTTTTTTCTCAATGGAGAAAAAACATATCAAACTGATCTCATTAGAAAAGTAGTATTAATTACTAATTTTTAGAGATTTTAAAAACGAATAGCTCATACATTTCAGTGGAAGAAATATTTTAGATGCTATTTTTTTCTTATTTAGACAAACTTTTAGCTACTTCGATTGAATTGGTTGCATATTTCGCTGTCGTTGTAGATCATCATATTCGAATCGAATACTCTTTTGTCAAATATCTACTTATATATTATTGTGATCTAAATGGAGATACTACCGCCTGCAGAACATCATTTTACACAGAATAAAAGTTTTAACTAACCACTTTTTCAAATAAAAAGTGATCTGTATCATCATATAGTGAAAGTATATGATCAACTGAAAGCATACGGCGTACATTCAACTAATCGAATGAAAAACTGGTGGCTTCCGATATGCAGGAATAGGTGATACAGCTCGATGTGATTCATGTGGTCTTGAAGTGTCCGAATGGATTCAAAACATGGATCCATTTAATGTTCATCTCGAACGTAATCCAAATTGTACATTTGTTCGTTTTGTACAATCAAAAACTATGTTGATACTCAATCATGAAGAAAATTCGGCTAAACCAATGAAGATAGAATACAATATGGATCAATGAAATCGACAAAATAAATTATTTGAACTAGATATTCTTAAACAAATACGTCAGCGAACATTTTCAAATTGGCCACATGAAACAATACCAACGAAAGAACAAATGATTATTGCTGGATTTTTTCATTGTAATGTTGGAGATCGTGTTATTTGTTTATATTGTAACCTTATTTGTCAATAATGGTAAGAAAACATTAATGATCTGGTGAAAATTCATAAAATATTATCGCCAATGTGTCCTTATGTTCTATTTGTGCTAACACAAATAGAATCTTCATCGGTTTTGATTGTCAATGGAATTTAAACAGATAATATTGATCATCAAGCAACTGTATTAAATAATAACAATCAAGTTCGATTCGAATAAATTGTCTATACATCACCATGCCATATTGCTTATATTAGTATTTCAAGTCGACAAGCAATATTTGAAACATGGACCAGCCAATCATCACCTGCTATCGATGATTTAGTTAAAGCCGGTTTCTTTTATACTAACTTTGAAAATATTATCACATGTTTCTATTGCAATGGATCGTTAAAGAATTGAGGCAAAAATGATAATCCATTAATCGAACACATAAGATGGTTTCCACGTTGTGCATATGCGAAACAACTAAGCGGTTCTGAGCTTTATGATAAAATTCAGAAAGCTAAAAGCATTCAGAAATGTTGAATCGTCTTTTTTTTCTTGAAAAAAGAAAACGATAAAATGAATAGTATTTGATTTTCTTTAATAGTGCAAGGCATATCTTAAACTTCGACCAATCAAATGAATAATTCATCTGTTTCGAATTATCAATGATTGCAAATAAACGATGAAAAATTATTATCGCATCTAGTCACTGCTCGACTTGATCTGCCAATTTTGCAAAGATTACTCAATCAAAATTTTAAACTATCAGTCATAAACCGTTGTTGGGAAGATCAACTTCGATTGAAAGGTGAGAAAATAAACATAAGAAAAAGAAATTATTCATTATTATATTGATTTATATTCAATTGTATTTTTTGATCCAGATGATGATTTTGTTAGTGATTGTGATTTATTCATTGTTTGTATTATTCTTCAGAAACAAATCGAACATATTGGTGGAAATAAAAATAATATTATCATACCAAGTGTTAAAATGAAATTAATTCTTGACCGACAACATTCTGGTTTTGTACAATATAAATTTGAAAAATAATCTATCTAAACGTAATAATTCATCTATAGATAGTTTGATTCAAAAAGAACATGTTTCACCATCATTTCCTATAACATCAACACAAGCATCATCGAAAATAGAGTCGATGGATGTCGAAACTGCAAATCAACATTCAAAAATAGATGAACCTATTTCAGACACTCAACTGTCATTAAATCATCCTTGTGTTAGTTGCTATCAAACATTTCGTACATGTCCCAAATGTCGTAGAGGAATCGAAGCATTTGTATGAGTTTATATTTAATAAGTATTATTGCCGAAAATAATCAAATTTAATCTATAAATTATTTATTTATGTTCTAGTCATGTCATATTTTTAGCATTCACTTTTTTTCTTTTGATTATTATACTCTGGATTATTAAAACTTAACTATGAAATTATAGAGCATCATTCAAATTTTGAAATTGAAAACATTATTCACCAAAGGGTGTGGGTGTGGGTGTTTGTTATTTCACTCACTCCCACACCCACCCACACCCTCAAAATTCAAGTTCTACTTTTAGTTGATAGGACTATAGTTAACATTTGAAATAGTTTCTTGCCAGATTTATATCAAAAAAATGACTGTTCTATTTGACCAAACATAATTCAATCAAACAACTGCTGAACGAATGACTGACTGAATGAATGAATGATTGTTTTATTTGAAAAAGAAATATATGGCTACTTTGAACGTCAATAAAGTAACTGATATTACCATCATTAGCATCAATCTATTTGTACTGAACATTGTCCATGAAATCTTAGAAAAATACTCGTAAAGTTCGACCAACAATCTCCCACGTTTACGATGACTTTTATGCTAGCTAAGTTGAAAGTTTTCAGGTATTGAAAATCTTGTTACTTTTGGACTTGTAATCAAAAAAACACTTACCAACTTTCAATCGAGATCTTGAACTTTTTGAAATAATAAAATATGACTTTTGATTTATAATGACGTTTTCATGATTTTTTTACTATTTTAAGGTGTCGATATTTTTCTCTAACTACAAATAATAACTAGATCTTTCTGCACAAATTTACAGTGCTCAGTTAGTAGACAAATGTGCAGATAAAGATGTAGACATGCGTGTGATCGAGCAGACCATCAACAGTCATTAATACTCACGCTCTCATTTGTACGAATAGACAAAGCTTGAAACCGTTAAAAAGAACAAGTATTACATTTTTGCTAATGCTCATATGATTATAGATTTATTACGAAGATGCTAAGTTCTGTAGCGTATGAGATCAATTCTCCCATATACTACTGTTTGATCGAAACAACACTCGAACATTACATTAATTACGTAAATGACTGATACGTGGATCCATACCCACGTTGAATCAAACAAAGATTTCATCTGATGAATTTTTTTATATTTACTACTGTTATTTGTCTATCAATTCAATCAAAATTATAATTCCACGAAGTTAGCTTTCAAAAATAACATGCATGAGACATACATCATAAGATTAGTAGTATATAAATAAGATGAAACAATTTCTCACCTCAGAATACGATAGATGGAGTATCGTAACTTATGGAAGATATTCAAAATAGAGTATGGGTGTGGGTGCGAATGTGAATCATCCCTTTATTCACAAACACACTCACGCCTAAACTCTCACACTTCTGTTCGAAATCGCGATCGTAGTAGCTCGTACTCACTAGAAATCTAAGAAATTTTTCTTCTATGATAGAATATCACCAATTAAATCTACTGAATTCTTCTAGCGAAGAGAGACAATTTTTAAATAAATATATTCTACAATCGAACCGTACAGATCCTCAAATGATCAAATATTTAAGATAAGACTAATATTTTTCAAATAAAAGAGTTGCATTTTTTTTAACCAAAATCTAGAAAATAATCATTATGCCAATATCTATAAAAACTAAAAAGGTAGAAAATTTTGTCGAAATATTGACTTTCGTATAATTTTGGAAGCAAATACGAAGAACAGTTAATAGTCAATTAAAATTTCATCATGTCGATCACAGTTCGTAATTTATTGACATCTTTGTTTGATTGTCATTGGTCTTCTTGAATAATTTTTTTAGTTTCTTCACCGTAATAATATGTACTCCATGTTGTTTCAATTTTTTCAATTGACTTTTAATTGTTGACAGGGTCACACCTCTACTTGCATCTTTAACAACGTATGTTATATAATTCAAATCGAAAGCATCAAGAGCAGTTGATGTTACACAATAATCTGTAGCCAATCCAGCAATAAAAACTTGTGTAACATTTCGTTCTTTCAACTTATCGTGTAATTCGGTTTTCCTAACTCCATAATTATCAGCAAATGCTGAATAACTGTCAATATCGGGATCAATACCTTTTCTTATATGAATAACTCTACTTGACGATGAAATGACATCGAGATCCTTGTGTAATGCTGCATCTTCTGTTTCCTGTATGCAATGTGTAGGCCATAGGACTTGTTCCATTTTGTATTTTGGACCGAGATACGTTACTTTATCGAACATTTTTATTGTTTGATTTTGATCACCTGCTAAATATTGTCTGCGAAAATGAAGATTTTCGAAAAATGATATATGATTCCATGGATGCCAATCTTGTGTATAAACAATAACGTCAAATGGAATGGTACGAATTAAATTATTTATAATAGGAATAACTTCGGCACCATCTTGACCAGCAGGACTTTTTGATAATGAGAGATTTCCATTTATAAAACAATTTTGAACGTCAACAACAATCAATGCATTGATAGGTTGTGCTGATTTTTTAACTAGAAAAGCATAAAATTAATATTATATCGTTTTATCTTCTCTTCCTACCTCTCGATGTCTCTACTACCTTCGAAATAATTATGGTCTTCATTATTAGGATAGTAGCAAACCAAAATAAATATAGTCGATTCATGTCGAAAAGAAATTTCGTTTACTAAAAGACTTGAAAATTTGGTGAATTATCAATGAATATCGGAAAAAAGTCACGCATCTCTCACCAAACTGATACTTTTCTGTAGATGTGTCATATATCACTTTTTTACACTGATCAAACAAGAACAAAATAAAACACATAAAAAAAGTAGACATCTTTCAGTATCGTAGACATGTTTACAAGAAAGAATACTAAATATGACTACATAGGATGAAATGAGAACAAAGTTAAAAAGATATCATTCATTCAGTTTTGTGTAAGCTGTAGACAAAACATGTTCAATCAGAGAAGAAATTCTTTACTGTTATTACTACTTTTTAACGTTACCGAAAGGTCAAAATAAATGTTTCCAATACTGATTCAATTCGATTCATTTTGAGTGTCCCTCGAAGTACGTTATTTATGTCTAAAATATGTTTTATTCAAAGCAAAAGTCAACTAGGAATTGATGTAAATAAAAAAAAAATAATCGAACCTGAATTGAAGCTGCAAATTCCACTTCAACTCTATCTCCCACATTTTTAGAACAGCCTCACTCAATAATTCTAGACTCGAATCTTCTAGATCTATCATACATCGGCATAAGCAATCGGTTTTCTTCAGAAAATTCGCTACAAATTCAAATATGATCTATTTTATTTCTGTCTTTTCATGTCTTCGAGAAAAAAAATATTGTAACATGAACGAGATTGGACTATTTTGAAAAACGATCAGATTAAACTTCTCGTTGACATTCATTTGTTTGAAAACATATATTAATGATAATAGATAATTTATTTTTTTATACGTTTTAAGATCAAGTATTTTTTTCAATTAGAATCTTTTCTGTCCAAAATTTGGTTTTAGATGATTCTATCAACATCCGATTAATGTAAAATTAACAAATTCTTTTATACGATGTCGTCTTCTATTGTTATCATCGTATGTAGTTCTACTTTTTATTTAGAATTTTTATTCATTATCCTTGTTTTAATTTTTTAATTTATAAACAAAAATAAATATGCAAGGTGTTTCCCGGACAAAAAAATTGAACTAACATCGATTTTTACATATGAACATTCCATTTATTTTTTTCGTTTTTATTACATCATGTGTTCGTATAAAATAAGGTAAGCACTTAACTTTTTAATAAAAATATTCGTTAATTTAAATCAATGATAGGTTCTGAATATAACAGTAAAAATGAAGTTTACATGCATAACATTGCACAAATTATCGATATAATAATGGATAAAAATCGACTATAAAATCATGATTCATCATAAAAATCATCAATATACTCAAAAAAAAAAAATTTGGCGATTTATCACGTTTAACATCATGATTATTGTTTCGATAAATCGCCAGTTTTTGAGCGATTCTGAGGACATGAGAAGGATGTAAAAAAAACTGACAATACCCTACCGTATGTTGCTGTTTGATTATTTAATATTGATGAAAAGAAAAATTAGTCTATATGTCGAGCAAAAGCAAAACGAACATAAATACTTTTATCAAAATTAATTATTAATGTTTATGCATTAAAAATCAGTGAAGCATATCGATCCTTTTCCTTTTCTGTTATTCTTTTCCTTTTTCTTTCTCTTTGACCATGATTCATTTTTATTTTTCTCTTTTTTTTTCTTAGTTTTATCATAAATCATCATTATTTTTTCATGCTTCTTTAGTGAGAAGGATTATATATATTACCTAGTTGGTATGTATAAAAAGAAAAACGCTAAAAAATATCTGACCTTGAACTATCACAATATACATTAATTTCTAATTGGAATCGTTCTTCATTAATGGAAAAACAATATTCAAATTTTCTAACAAGTTATTTATAATAACTAACAAGAATTAAATTTCTGACATGAATTCAAGCTAAAATAATAATAATCTAGAGAATAAAAAAAAAATTAGATGTTGCTTATTGCTAAGAATTTCTCTTTTGGTTGTAGATTATAATCAAGTTCTTCAAAAAAAAAAAATCAATCCTTTAAATAATGTTAATGCTTTTACATTTTAGAAATAATATTCAGATATATGATCTGTGACATTTTCAAATATTTTTGAATTGTTCATCAATGTAATACCATATCTTTTTATCCGATTTTAGCTTGTATTCATTTCATAAATAAGTATAGTATAGAGGAGTGTCTGAACTGAATAAAATTCACAATTTATAATACCAATGATGTTGTTTATGCCAAAAGTCAGTTTAAAATTGATGAAATTTATTCAAAATAATATCGTCATCATCTTTAATTCAAGGTGTGGGTGTGAGGTGGGGGTGTGAGTGTGGGTGTGTGTGTGTGGGATGGGTGCGGGTCTGTATATGAACGTGGGAGAAGACACCCACATCCACGTTACTATCAGTGAAAAAGTAAAATAAATATCATCAAGAGAATGAACAAACAGAGAAATATGTTTTAATATTGATTATATCGATTTACCTTCCATTCTTCTTGTTCTATTATATGCATTGTTATTCTAAATGATATTTATAGTTGTGAATAAAAACTAAGAACCATTGTATTTTGATTTTTTTTCTCAATGGTAGTAGCTAAAAATTCCATTTTGTAGAAGTTTTCAGATTCAGGGTGTATGAGTGTGGGTGTTGTCGAAGATAGAACACCCAAACCCCACACAGTAGCACATGCATAAGTACGCGTTTATTAATCGTATGTATGCAATCACAATTTTTCAAATTTTAGGCCAAGCTTGCTAGATCATGCGTGACTGTTATTCTTGCAAACACTCGCATGTAAGTGACAAAGTGATTTTATGTGTACATCCAGCATAATTCGAGTTTTACTAAATGCTGCATGTCAATGCGAAAATTTTGTGTATACGAAAAATATCATCGAGGTGATTCTGCATCGACACGCAAAGGTGTGGATGTGGGTGTGAGTGTCGAGGGAAAGTTTGTTCTCAACTCACACCCTTAACAATGAGCTTTGTAATGATTCAAATTGAATCATTTACATGTGGATTTTATTTTTGTTAACATTCTTATCTCGTCTTCTCATTGAATAATAAAACATGAAATTTGTTGTTTTTCAATTTTTCTATCACGTGAATAAATTCAATGTCTTAATCGAGAGAATTTTGCTTTGTGAAAGTCTTGTATTTTTGTAGAAAAATAAATACATTTTTGATTTACGTTTGATAAGAACGAGAAAAAAATTACATAAGACAAAAAGAATAGATATTGTTGTATGCCTACTTTTCTCCGCAGCCTATGCAAATAATTTCTAGGATTACTGTTGTGACTCGAATGAAAATCAACGAAAAACAAAAAAATAATATGATTAAAAAAATAGTTTCTATGTCAATAAATACTTTTCCAGTAGCAAATTCGAGCAACATGCGTCAGTAAAAGGATTTTTTTAATCATTTTCGATGAACAACGCAAGATTAACACACATATATAAGTGAAATTTTTTTTTAACAATGTCAATGTCTATTTTAATCTAGAATGACGATATGAGTTTACGTTTTGTTCATGGTAAGTCTGTGATAATTTATCAAACAAATGCATAAGAGTCATTAGAGAATGAACATTTTGCTTTTCAAAATTTATCACGTAAAAATAACAACTAATTTTTCCATACGCTCATGAATAAATATTAAAGTATAACCTACAATATAATAAAAAATAAAATAAAATAATGTTTGGTTTTTTGATAAAAAAAAAATATTTGATAGTGCAAAGGTGAATTGATGTGAATTTGAGCAATAAAAACTCAATTTAATATATAATATTTTTCTTATCTATAGACGATTATCCATTATCGTTAACATTGTTGTTCGAAAATACAGATGGCTGTACAAATAAGAATTTAACAACAGAATTCAATGGTTAGTAATGATAATGATGATTTACATACATATTTATATCTATTTTTCTAGTAGATGATGATTGGAAGAAAACCCTTGACGAGTTGTTTTCGGAAGCACATGATGTTGGAACAACTAGTCGAACGAATAACATCGAGCAGTTGATTGAAAGTTCAGTTGATTGAAAGTTCGGTTGATTCTTCAGCGGATCCATCTGTCAGCAATGAACCAAATTTAACGGTGATAACAAATGCACATATCGAATGTATGTTTAAATTTTTATTTTTGAAGAATTATATTCATGATTTCAATATTTATTTCCATTTCTATAAAACAAAATTCTTCTGAGTTTATAATCATCGATGAAACCACAATTAGAATAGTACGAAAATGAAACGGTTGAGACTAAATATTTTAATAATCAGAAACTCACGCTTTGCAAATCACAAAAATGAAACTATCAATAAGCTATTGGTAGTTTCATGATGTAGTAGTATGACCTGAGCTCAAGCCTTCTCATTAGTTTTGACCTTGTAATTCTAATAATAAATATAATTTCATATAAACAAGAAATCCTTCCAGTGATTTTTTCAATAAAAATTTCTCATGTTTCTTATATTGATATGCTCTAAATTGTTTGCAGAAAGCATCAAATAGTTAAGTTATAAAAATTTACCGAACTATTCTTTTCTATTGACAAAATTCTATTCTTTTCTTAGAATCATAAAACCATAAATAGTAGTTTTCTTCTCTTCATTATAACCACGAGAATGTCGGAGTAGTTCAAGTAAATCTATCACGTACTATAATCAACCTGTATTAGACTTGAATATGTCTAATTGATCATATTAATTTATAATATAATTCTATTCATATTCAGTACTATAAAATCATGACTTTTATAATCATAATTCAAACTGAATTGTTGACAAGTCTCTTTACTTCGATCTGAAGCCTTTTTTTTCGTCTTTTAATTTTGATGAAAGAATTTTTATTTTCGTAGAAGAACATTCGATTTGCATAGATTTCTACTCAATAAAAGTTACCTAGAAGAAAAACAAAGCCAGGCCAAGGCTCTCACCATTTTTTTTTCATTCTTCATCATATATTTTAAATATTATCGAAACGAAAGAGAAACAAACAATAGAATATATAAATTATCAGAAAAAGAACAAACTTTTCCAGTAGCAGAATTTATTTACAGAATGGAGTAAAATACATCGGCAAAAAAGAAATCTTTTAATTTAGAATAAACATATAAATACAAGTGCCTAAAATATAACAAAAAATATGAAATGATATACGCTTTTTGATAAAAGAAAAGATTAATTTGAGCACATAAAACTCAATTTTATTTTTCTCTTAATCTATACATGATTGTTTGGTATGCTTAGCACTATCATTGGGAATTGTAGATGATCGTGTAAGTGAGAATTTAACAACAGAATTAATTGGTAATTATCATAGAAAAATCACCCGATGATATACAGTGACGTTTTTGTATGTATTTTTGTAGACAATGAAAATTTGAATAAAATCCTTGATGAGTTCTTTTCGGAACCAACTAATGTCGAAACACATATTGAAACGAACAACATCAAGCAATTGACTGAGAGTTCGGTTGATTCTTCAGCAGATGCATCTGCCAGCAACGAATCAAATTTAACGGTGTCAACAAATATTCTTAATGAACGTATGTTTAAATTTTTACTTGTCAACGATTGTATTCCTCGTTTCAATATTTATTTCGAAAGTATTTTCGTCATCTTGAATTTCTATGGACTTGTATTTTCTCTCTACTGATTTTACTATATGCTACAGAAGAGTGTACATAAAAATTTCCAAATATTATATTCTGTTCGAAAAAAAATTCTCGATCACTATGTAAAATTAATTTTTTTTTTGAATTTAATCCATACGTTTTTCTACTAACTTTAGCGATCACATCAACTGTTAATTGTTCGATATACTTCAAAAATTCAATTCAAGACAGGTTTCGTATTCATAGTGAAAACGAATTTCGTCGGAATCAGGTTAGAGGAATTCCAAAAGTAAGAGATTGTGCAGGCAATTCAAGACTTTATCTTGGTGGAGTAAGTTCATAAGGATTGAATGATTAATTTCCGTTTTTTTTTCGTAGTCAGTTTCAGCTCTCGCTGATGCATTAATCGAATTTTCAATAGTATTCAAAGGTCCTGATGAATGTTTCTATTAAGCTCCCTTTAAATTTGTTCGTAATGATGGTCAAACTATTAAATTCGAAAATCCGGATATTTTCGATTTATCACAAGATGCGACTAATGATAATGGATTTTTAGCGTAAGAAAACATTCTACATTCAACAGCTAAAATCGTTTTATTTCAGTTTGGAAATGGCTATCTGCAAATCAAGAAATTCTATGTTCGAATGTAGTGATGGACAAAACACTGGAATATGTCAAATTGAACGATTTCCTTCTGGTCTAATAGAATATTTTCAAATCTTAAACTTATTATAAGATACATGTAACTATTTTTTATATTTATAGGTAATACAGTGAAAATTGATCATGAACAATTATCATTATGGAAAATAAATGAGAATAGAAATAGCACGAATGAAACTTTTAAACCTATAACCCCTACGAAATTAGCTAAATTTCTCAAAGTATATACTGTCTATATCATTGGTCGTGAGACTTATTTGGATGCTGATAAAGGACAATATGTACCGGAAAACAATTTTCGGATTCTTTCAAATGCCTTTACACCGAGTAAATTATAAATGATTATCATAAACATATTATTTTATATGATCTGTTCTTGTTAATTAAATAGATAGTCTATGTAAAGCAGCGCAATCTAATAACAGTCTAAGTGGATTACACATTACTCAAGTAAAACTTTCACAAAATGAAAATATCAATCAATATGATTTACAAGTCTCCGTTATTGTAAGTTATCATTATATATTTGAATTCACCAAAAATACATATCTTGTTTTTTTTTCCTATGAAAAGATTCCAGAAATGTATAGATGTACACAATTAAAAAATAAATATTTAGAAGTTAAAATCTGTACTGGTAACGAACAAGATTTAAATATTCATCCTGATGATAAACTTCTGGATAATCAAACACCAGTTGATTCAAGATTAATTCCTGTTGATGAATATAATTCTACGTAAGGATATAGTATAATTTAATTGTTAATAAAAATGATATTAAGTGAATTCCTTGTATAAAAAAAATTCAAGATTTTATATACGCCTCATTAGATTATTTATGGTCCGTTGTTTTTTTTATAGTTTCGTGTTTAACATTATCAAACTGACTGGAAAAGAATACGTGATAAATTTTATATCAAATCAAACTCAACCGATTCCATCGAGTACATAAACTTTGCTTTAAATAGGTTTATTCATTTGATTTTTTTTAAAATTTGTCTATTTATATAGCGATTCAGACAATAACATTCAATAATGTAAGTATGAATAGTCTTCGTGTACAGTTACAATTATGTGATTATTCGAACGATATTTGTGTTCCATATCCAAAATCAGTTGTTCTATCTGATTTATTAATTGATGGCAAGTTCTTTTTTTTGTTATTCAGATTGTAATGAATATTATAGAAATTTGACATCTAGGTTTTGCTTCTTCTGAAGAAGTACATACGATTTCATCACAAGAAAGTGATAGTTCACCGGATGATGATAATTCAACTGATGATCATTGTGCAGAATCATCAACACACGTTAAACAATCATATCAGAAAGAAACTCATGAACGAACTGAGTAACTTTTCATTAAATAACTTTCTAATAGTAGTTCAATTATTAAATTGATTTGCTTTTCTATTCTAGGTCACCTGAACAAAAAATTCAAAAAACTGATATTGTTGATACTGCATTTGATGTAAATCAATTAAAAACAAAATATTTGTCTTTTTTAATTTTGACAAGGACATGAAATGTCTCATTGATTAAGGTTCTTTAGAAGACTCATTTATTTAAATAAAAACTAAAGCATAAATAAAGAAGATTTTTGTCTGAAACTATATTATTTGTTACTTGACAAAGAAATAATCTCGAAAAATGAAAGACATAGGAAAATCATCATCAAGTATTACACATCAAACGAACTAATATTCTGCCTTTAACGACGCCTTCTCCTTTCCAGATCCAAAAATTCACTTTTTTGCGATTTTTATTTTTTTGCATCTAGCACGATATTCAAGAGTCCTCTACCGAATGGCATATGAACGAAAAGTTTTTATGTTTATTTAGATCCTTAAATAACCAGACTTTGGAGCAGAGATGTGCGGTCCACGGGGTTCACCCCGCGGGCCCCGCGGGGCCACGTGGCGACGGGCGGGCGAGGAAGAAAAATTTAATTAAACGCGGGATTAACGGGGCGCGGGTATTTTCCAGCACACGGGCGGGCGGGGCGGGTAATAATTTTTTTAAATGACACGGGTCTCGGGCGGAGCGGGTATGAAATACACGGGTTCGGGCGGGTAAACATTTTTTTTCGGGTGTGATGAAAGATCGTCAAAACTTATCACGGGATGTCCTTAGTATAGGTATGTAGTACAAAGTACATATTGATTGGTTCATTACTTTCATCCTATTATGTACAAGATTGTCTACCATTTGTTTGTTTCTTTCTTTATCGTCTGTCATACGCAACTTCTACTATCAATTTATATTAAGTGAATAACTGGACTAAAACTTATTTTATATTTAGAATTATCGTTTGAATTTTTTTGTGAATTACTACTTAGGTCTGACCAAAAGTTCTGACAACATTATATGAAAATATAAAGATAAGGAGATATCTTTAATTTTATTTTATCAAATTTTGAGGACAGTTGCCATGATTATTTATACCAAGTTTGATCCTTTCCAACGATTAGTTAAAAGTTTTTTGAAGTTTTTTCGAAAAATTTTTAGGTATCATGGACACCGCATGAGCTAATCATATTTCATTTATTGTGAAAAGTTAGCAAAATCTTGTTCGATCATATCAGTTGCATTCTAGTACTACTAGTGATGAGATATAGATTTATTTTAGATAGGTTAGTCATAAGTTATCCGATGCTGGCTGGCTTATTGAAGATGAATCGTCAAAGACTATTGTTCATGAATAAAGATTTTAGAAAATGCTTTGTTTGGTATATTTTTTAAATCAAATACTCCTGAATGTAGATAAAGGCAAGACTGTAAGTCACAAGTATTAGGCTGAACGCTCTCCAAAACATTTTATTAATCAAATATGGAAACAAACAGAGACATCAGGTTCATAATGTACAAAATTGCTTGACGGTCATCGTTGACTTCATACTCATCTAATGTTATTAATTGCATGACAGAAGAAGGCATCAATATAATATCATATCTATCATATTCGCCAGGCCTGATACTATGTAACTTTTCGCTAATTAATTCTATTAAATGTAGTTTAACTGATTAAATAAATGAAACATGATAAGCTCGTGCGATATCTAAAACTTTTTTCGAAAAAAACTTTTAACAAATTATTGGAAAGGTTCGAACTTGGTATAAATAATCATGGCAACTGTCCTCAATATTTGATAAAATAAAATTAAAGCTGCCTACTTACCTTTATATTTTTATATAATGTTGCCAGAACTTTTGGTCAGACCTAAGTATCATCGAATTACATGATTTATCTCCTGATGAATCACTTAATAGGACAGCTTCGTCGAATACTGATCGTTCATCTACAATTATTTCTTCATCTCTCAGTCATTGCTCATCGAGTAATATTAAATGTAATTCGTCAAATATAAAAATGTTTTTAAAAGAACAACCACAAAAATACGTGCTTGTCGACAATCACAAAATGAATCATTCAAAACCATCTCATATAGACTTGAGTTTTGTTTTTGTAAAAAATGATTTTTCATAAAAGGAATGCATCATTAAAAATAAAGTATCTGGTAAATAAAAAATTTCTTCGGATTACACGGGGACGGGTCGGGGCCCGTCGCAAAAATGGCGGGTCGGGCGGGCTGGTCTAAGAAGCTGCCTGTGCGGGGTACGGGCGGAGCGGGTATAGATTTGCCGGGGCACAGGCGGGGCGGGGATTCTCAAAAAGAATAACCACGGGGTTCGGACGGGACGGGTTTGTGAATTTTACGGGGCGGGCCCCGCGGGGGATGGAAAATCAATGCCCCGCACATCTCTGCTTTGGAGGGCGTTGGTGTGGGTGTTGAGGTAGAATATGTAGATATTATTTGTGGCTAATCTGATTAGTATAAACTTGCAATAATTGCAAAACAAAGAAGCGATAGGGTTTAGAAAGTATTACATGTTTATATAGTAAGACTGGTCCAAGGTTCTTTTCGCAAACTTTTGTTTTTATGTATACACAATAACAGGCGATGCGCCCTAAAATAATCGAAGTTGTACATCAAACGTGAACATTTGAAAATAGAAATTTGTTAAAATGTTTTGATGACATCAATAATGCTCTTCTTTATTGGACGCTAAATTTTGTTAGTCTTTCCAAGTAAGTTTTTTATTGTCAGAAACCTTGAACTGCAGCATAAATTTAAAAAAATGTGCATTTCTACTTCCACTATCAAAGGAAAATCTTCATCAATTCTATAGCTCGAAAAAACAAACTTCCTATCACCAGAAGAAGGCTGTTATACTGTACCAGATCAAAAATCGAAATTTAGTTATTAGTTATATTTCCAATAACTTTTATGATCATCGAGCTACATGTATCAAACTTAGATGATCAATTTGTTTGCCTCTTGAAAAATAGATACTAATTTCGATTAATTTATGTCATTGCAACGAATTGTCTTTCAATGAATTGTTCTAGCATCGTTTGGTAAAACGTGAAAAACTGCATTGATCTATGGTATTAATTTTGACATTCAGATTAAAACATAACAAAAACTATAGACATTACAATTAACAACTAAAACACTCCATACCTACAAAAAAATCCATAGAACTCAAAATAACGTAATCTTGAAAATACTTCTTTTCTATCTAACAAAAAAGAAAATTAAATACACCGAAAGCTGTCGATCTTCAAGCACTGTCTTTCTATCATATTGAAAATGAAGACGGAGAGGTGGCAGATTTACCATGAAATCCTGCGATATACTTTAGATAAATTAGTTTCACTTCGATTATCAAATGTAGCTCCATAAAATTTGTATAAAACTGCAGGCAGATTATCTATTGTAACAATTTTTCGGAAATCGTTCGCAAAATCTGAGACACATAAATTCGACATAAGTAAACAAAAAGATGTCTCTTAAATTTAATAATTCTTTGATTGTTTTTATTGGTTTTTAAATCACATTTCTTTATTTACATGTTACTTGGTGAAATACTTTGTAGAGATCTTCTTTTCAAACTCCGTTGTTTCACTAGTACCTGACTCTGCTAAGATTTCATTTAAAGATCATCTCTGTAAA